TCCCCAAATTGTGTCAATGCCAGTGAAACTGTCATGGCCAGCCAAGACCCTCTCTCCACCCACTGTCCCTACTCCCAGAGCAAGCACTTTGCCCAGGGAAAGTGGCAGTAGCACCAGGCAGGCCTCACCTCCTCCAGTGGCACATCTAGGGCTGTCATGGGAACCTTGCTGGTGGTCCTCATGGAAACTAGAACCCGTTTCACTCTGGGGCACTGCTTCACAGCCTGGTCCACTGTCTTCTTTAGTTCAATAACCTTGCCACCTCTCAGCCCCTGGTTCACTGTAATCACTATCTCTGACTGGGCTGCAGAAGACAGAAGAGTCACATGAGCAGCTCTGCCCTTCTCTATCAGTCACACAGCAGTTTGGCTCTACCATGATGCTGCACCTCTCTCTCTGTCTCTCAGCCCCTGTTACTCATGTCCTTCATTTAGCAAAACCAGCAGATTTGCATCTTGATTTTCCATTAATTCCTGCCTATGTTGCATCTCCTCACAGGAGATGCCGTATCCCAGCCCTTCAGTCCCACGGATGAAAGAGAAAACCAGTTCATCCCATGGGCTGGAAGGTATTTAGTGAGCTCATGCCATTTCCTGGGTTGCTAATCCCTGCTCCATGGCTACATATGATATCAGGATACCCCCAGATAGCTCAGAGAATTTTACTCAGAAAACCTTTGCCGTCCACACAATCCTGAGCCCCCCAGCTGCTGAACCAGCAAGCTCAACACTGTCCCCCAAGGGAAACACATGTCACTCTTACCCACTGGCTCTTACCATCCCGGATCCTGTCCGCAAGGGACTCTGCACTGAACCCAGCGAACACCACAGCATGCACAGCCCCGATGCGGGCACAGGCCAGCATGCTAGCCACTGCCAGTGGGCACGGGGGCATGTAGATTGTAACCCTGTCACCCCGTTTCACCCCTTGCCGTTTCAAGGTGTTTCCCAGGCGACACGTCAGCTCTAGCAGTTCCCTGCCCAAAGAAGCAATTACACAGTTAGAGACTTTCTTGCAGATTTAACCACTGTGCTTAAAGATAGGGGACCTCAGAGTTATACACAGTTTATCCCTGCACTCCTCACTCTGGACATCCATGGGAGGGCTGTAAAATTCAGTGGGAAGGAAAGCAGAAGACAGATTCTAACATGGGTTTTTATTTGTAGAAAAGAAATAAAGCAAAATGGTTTCTGTACAGCAATGGCCACTGGTAATTCCTCTGGCTCAGCAAGCACACAACAGCGCAGCTGACTTCCACGATGACAGCCTGCTCATTTCTTACCAACCTGTACAACTGGCTTGACACACTACCCTGCATAGCTGGAGGCTACATGTGAGAAGTTAGATATTTTCTCCCATGTAAACAGGGTCCTGTGCATTGCTAAAGCTGAGAAGGTCAAGTCCTCCAGAGCTTGTGTCCACTAGCAAGAGCAACAGCTGTAGGAAAGCAGTGAACAAAAAGATGCCTCTCCCGAGAAGCGTCCCTCCCAAAAACCACAGCTTGGATGTCAGTGACTCATTTTATGGAAGGGCTCTCCATGCAGGGAGATTGGCAGGGGTGGATGGTCATATTTGTAGTGTGAGGTCTGGAGCCAGAAAGGACAGAGGGACTTTTTTTACTGTGCAGGGGAATTTAAGTGAATCTTGCAGCAGAAATTCAGAGAGCAGGCAAATTAAGCTGGAAGGTGGTGACCCCAAACCAACCCAGCAGGGCTGGACAGGCAGTCCTCCGGAGAGCCAAATCCAGCAGCACTGCTGACGTGCAGATGAGAATGGGATTTCTCAACACACACAGAGCTGTGAATCTGGCCTGTCTTGCAGACCATTTACCTGTAAGTTTAGACTCCAGGAACCTTGCTGGGAAGGCACACGTGTGACTTTGCTGTGTGTTTTACCTACAAGCACCGCAGTGCTGCCCCAAGGATCTTACACCTGCCTCCCCAGCTGGGTAGAGACTCCTCAGGGCCCAGAGGATTTAATCAGGAGGTAGGCTAAAGTTTCAGACCAATACAAGCAAGCCAACATTCTGTTGATCTATCTGCGTGAAGGGATGCTGCATTCCATCACATGACAGACATCAGCAGATCAGCCCTGTAGATATTCATGCATGCTGCAATAGGACTCGTATACTGAGAGGTAGTAACTGACCTGTATGTCACCCGTACTTCCTCTCCTGGTTCATCCTTCTCCCAGATTAAGGCCACTTTGTCTGGGGCTGCATGGACATGACGGTCCAGGCAATTCACTGGAATAGAAAACCCAGTCTCATCAACAGAGAAACCTCAGTACATCTTACCTCTCACCTCTCATAAAGCCAGAACCAGCAGTCCAGTTTTCAGGTCAGTCAGGGCTGTGTGTGGGTCTTCTCAGCAACCCTGTGCAACATTTGTGGATACTAGCCAGCAGATCACAAGCACCATCCCAACCTCATTACACTCATCACCACTTCAATACCCACCAATCCCCACTATCAGCTTCCCCCTTAACTGCAACTTTATGCAATCCAGAGCAGAAACTGCCTAAAGCTCCTTTGGAGGTCACATCCACAATGTCCTTAGAGTGCCCAGCAAACATTAACTCAACCACCACTCCACCCAGCACTGCCTTGCAGCTACCTCTGGGTGGACTAGGGCAGTTTTTGAGTGGCAGTGCTCCTAAATCACAAATGTAGGACAAAACAAACTCTGTGCAGGAAAGCTACAGAGTGCATTTGTCCAAGATGGAAGAGAGCCAGGGCAAAGTCAGAGCACACAGCCGCTGGCTTTCCAGGGACATCGTAAGCTGAGGCTTTGGCTGTTGTTCTTCCAAGAAAAGTTTCCCACATTGTTGGCAGCTGCAGTTTCTTCAGAAGCCTTGTTCACTCTGTGTTTTCCTTAAACCTGCTACTGAAGTCATGGGATGATGCAGCAGCCCCAGTTTGCATACCAAAATGCTTTTATCTCCTGACCATTTGTAGTTTCCCAGGAGAGAAAGAAACATACATGAAAGGGGGAATAATAAGATCTCAAATCCTAAAGGCAAATAACTCCTGCTCTCCTTTCAAAATGGACTACAAGACCTGATTTTCTGAGAGGTTTGTCTCTTATTTTGAACACTGGGACCAACACCACTGTGAGCAGGACAAAGTGTTACCAGCCCCTGGTAGCCCCGCTAAGGCAGTAGCCCCAACCCACAGAAGAGTCTCCCATGACAGTGGGGACTTCCAGTGTGGCTCATTGCTCTTGTATTTTGCTTTCTGCAGATACATCCTGCCTTCTCTGGGCAGGGATGATCTAGTGCAATCCTGCCTGCTGAATTCACAGGGTTTGGTGCTGTTGCCTGTTGCCAGAATGGAGCCACTGCCCTCATGTGGGATCCACAGAGGCTGAGGAAGAGCAGCCTGGCTGCCAGCACACCCCAATCCACCTGCAGCCCCTCCAGAAAGACCCAGCTGCTACCACAGGATAAGCCACAACCTTACACTACGGCCACTGCAGGACCAAGCAGACCTTTTGGAATCCCCCTCTCTCCAACCCTGTAACAGTGTGCTCTTCAGATATGCTTCCAGGACTGAAGCCCCACACATAGAATTACCTGCAGGCAGTCGGTGGGATCCCATGTCTGCCTCCCTCCTTACCTGCCACGTTCAGCTGCCCACCCAGGAACCAGGAGACCCTGCCCTGGTGCAGATCGCAGTCCTGGACAGAGTGGAAGGGGGTGATCCAGGTGAGCCGGCTCCTTCCTAGTGCTCCCCAGAAGGCATCCCCTTGATCCACTGAAACCTTGTACAAGTCTTGGTGGTCCTTGAGTCTGGAGAAGGTGATGGCTTCGGGCATGTAGGCAGTGAGGGGCCCATGGCTCCAGTCTCGGGCAGCCACCAACCCAAGGGGGCATCTGGGAACCTGAGAAAGAGTTTTGGAGCAGCAGGTCCTGGCCAGCAGCCTGGCCATCACCGCAGGGTATCTGCCTCTCACCAAGGAGATGGGTGCCCTGGAGCCCTTTCAGCTGCTCAGGACACCTGGCCCAGGCAAAACCCAGGCCCCTGTGCAAGCTGGGGCTACGTCGTCCTGGGCTAACTGGACACAAAGAAGCCCTCCAGCACAGGGAGCCTTTCTCCCCTGCCTTGTTCCTCTCCTCCTCTCTTCCAGAGCACTATGGGAAAAAAGAAATTCAATCACTTTAAGGGAGGGGAAAGGGGTGGGCTGTAGAAATATTTGACTGAAAATAACCTCCATGCTAATTTGAGTCCTGACAGCCACTCTTGAACAAGAGCCAGGTTCAGCTTGTGCCTGGCCTCCCCTCAGGGGCCAAGGTGCCTGGGCCAGGCTCTAACAGCCTGCTGCTGCTCCTGCTCTCCCAAGGCTGCTCTGCATCCCCAGACTTCTCTGTTTCATCTCCACTCACCTCCCTCACACCTCCCTCTACTCATCCCCATCCCCTCACTCCCCACACCTCCCCTGCTACAGCCCCACAGTCCTCTGCTGGCCACAAAGGCAGCTTGGGGCAGGTTACCTGTAAGAGTTAGGTCCCCCTTCATGCTAGTCGTGAGTGATAGGACCATCCCCTTCCCAAAATTAAAGCCCATTTACTGCAGAGAACTAGGCTGTGTTATCTGTGATGGGCCAGGGAAGGCTTTACTCACTTGGCTGTCAGCTGCAGGGTGGGGATATTGCAATCCATCCCTTCCCACTGGTCAGATATCAGAGCTTTCCTCTCTGGCAAGGGGGGCTGGGCTCTCTCCCTCCTCCCAAACACTACAGACCAGCTGTACCACCAGGTGGACTGGAAGCACTCAATGAGGCCATGGTAGAGCAGGGGGTGGTGGTTTGGCATGAAACACTGCAGCCCATCTCCTCACGCTGAGACCTCCCACCATCCACTGTAGCAGAGCAAAGTTTCTTCCCTGCCTCCAAACATCTTTTTTTCTGCTTCCCTTTCCTTCAGGCCCTACATAGGTAGATTTTTTAAGGCAGAGTTTGGAGGCTTCCTTAATTTCATTGACCAGATTCACCTCCCTTCCTAGGGGTCACAAGAGAGGGGCAGAAAAAGCCTTTCCCTGCAAGTAGAGCTGTTCTCAGTAAGGCACACTGATGGGATCAACAGCAGACATGAGAGGTTAGTAGATCTCTTCTTTGCTCTTCATAGTGTGACACCACTCATGATCTGTGGAGCTGATATGTTTGGTGAATAGGTTGGACACCAGCATGGGGAACAGGATCTGTCTGCCATCAGGTACACTCATCACACGCTATACACCTGGTTTGTATCAGAGCTGCCCCAAGGTCAGTGAGTTACCTACAAGGGTTCTGTCACTCTGGGGAAACGCAGTCCTGTGGGCTTACAGTCCCTCCACAAAGTCAAGCCCAACCAGCCTCATCATTCCAGAAGTCTCTTATTTACTATGCACGCCTGCTCTGCTTCTGCATTTTCCCCCTCCCTTTAAGACCATCCCCAGAAGCCCTTAACAAGGCAGGCAAGTCTCAACTTCTTATCTGATAACTCAGAATAGGTGCCCACTGCTCTCAAATCAGAGCTCACCTTGCTGGAAATCCTGTCGGTGCCCTTCCCTTTCAACCAGCTCCCCTGCATTTGCAGCATCTGGCTGCTGCCTCAGCTCCTCAGGCCAGCTGAGCCCTGCAGCCTGCTCCTGGCAGAGGGGTTGAGCCTGCCCAAAGGTCTGTCTGACTCTCTAACACCATGGCACATGTGATATGGGGTGACCCAAAGCACCAGGGCTGTCCTGGATGCTGAAGTGACTTGTTCTCTGACCGGCTGTATGCTGTAACTTGTGCTCTGAGTACAAGCACATTCCTTTCAACTTTTTCCCTGCAAAGGGAGAGCAGCACCCAAGCCCTGTATTCTCCATGCTTGGGTGGGGAGGAAGGTGCAGACCTCTTTCTATGCTGCTTTGGATCTCCCACCCCTCTCTGGCTACAGCCTGACATCCAATGCCCTCTCAGCTTTGGCTGAACTCACCCTCCTTAAACACTGGTGACCAGACTCATACACAGTATTCCCGTTTAATTTTATTCTTGTTCATATCTTTACAGAAAATGGCACATAAATCACAGATGCTGGATGACTAGAAGTTGTTACAGCTCCATATCTCAAACACCTCAATACTGAATTCTTTTCTCACTGTATATACATTATTTACACCCCATGGGCTAAATCTAACACGTCGAACGACCAGGGAACAAAGACGAACAGGGGTTGGATGAGCGGGCTGAACATTTGACAGAAGAAAAACTGTGGGGAAAGGGTGCTCACAGCTGAAAGCAGGACAGAAAGGGGCACCTGGAAGTCACTGTCCTACAGCTTTTGGAGGGGGAATAGTGCCCTACTGGGATGGAAAAGTGATGGTACCATGGAGTGGGTTTGGCTGTGTGAATCTGCATGTGCTTATATGGCATGTATGTACACATTACAGGGTGTATCAGAGTGGATGTGCATGGCTGTCATTCCCTTTAACACTCAGAGGGTGAGCTGGACAAATTTAAATCAATAAATACATTAGGTGGATGTTGTTGTCTCACCTGCAATAATGTATTCAGTAAATAATTTCACCATCTGGCCTCTCTGCAGGGTGCAGGGCTTTGGAGTTTGGAGCAGAGTCAGACCCAATTGTCCAGCATTGCAGGAGCCAGAAACATGGGTTGGGATCACCTCAAATTGCCAGGTGGGACCAGGGTGTTTTGCCTGTGGGCTAAACCTGCCTCTCCTTGCCAAACAGGGGCAAAACATAACCGGCCTAAAATTGCAGCCCCTTCCCAGCAGACCCCAGTGCTGGGCAGGGAGATGGGAGGAAAGTGCAAACTACCCTGCATGGATAGTCATCGTTTCATGCAAACACTGCCATGGGCTTGTCCGGCTGTGGCCTGGGCCAGAGGCAGAGGTGATAGCCAGGGGAAGGTAATGGGTCTGCCTGGGGCATGGTGGAATAGAGCACAATGGGAAGGGACCTAGGCAGCACTGGGGAGAGAAGTGCACCAAGGAGGGCCATGGCAGCAGGGGACAGGCTTGCTTCAGGATGGCAGACGGGCTTTGGGGCTGCAGCAGCAGGAAAAAGCCCCAGAGACAGTCATGAGGCTGAAGGGACCAGAGCCTTGGTGTCCTCTCAGGTGGCAATGATGATGTGTGTCCCCCAAAAGGAAGGGATGGGGGGTAAGGAAGGCCTGGTGGGGCAGAGGACTGAGGGGCAAGGGTATGCTCAAGGGGAACAGGCAATGGGCACCCCTGCCAGGCAGCCCCAAACACAGAGACCAGGGCCCTGCTCCCTGGCAGGGGTGGCCAGGGAGGCCTGACAGTCTGAGTAGGAACGTGGTCCCCAGAGGACAGAGTGTCTATCGGGGCTGGCTTCCACCGCCTCTCTTCCCCCTAGATCAGCTTCTCCTCCTTCTGCGACGAGTTCAACTTCTCCGTCTGTCTCTCATCCTCTGCCACTGCCATCTCCTCCCCTGTCTCCGGCTTCCTGCCTGGGGCTGGGGTGTCCCCAGCAATGGTCCCCAGGACTTTGGTGCTGTGCTCCTGAGCTTTGGCCCTGAGGGCGGCAATGCTGTTTTCTCTCAGTTCCTCCTGAGAAATGGTGGTTTTGGGATCCGGACCCCTCTCTTCCTTGTCACCTTTGTCAAGCTTGGGCAGGGCCTGGCGCTCCACCTCTGTCTTCCTCCCCGCCTCAGCCGCTGCCTCCAGAGACTTTTTGTGCATCCCTAAAAAGAATTGTTGGTATTCGGGTTTAGAAAAGCGCCTGGGCATGGGAAAGCCATCTTGAACTGAAAACAGCAAAGATAAAGAGAGGCCAGAATTAAGGAAAAGCAGAAACCCTCACTTCATACAGCAGTCACGGGGAGCCACTTGCTCCTGCACCCGTGCGAGGACAGCCCGGACAAGGCAGCTGCCTGCTGGGGCAGCCTGGCATCTGTGGACTCCGGGCTGCCCCCAAAGGTCTATAATTACTTTCCTCTTCATTTCTCTCTGTAAACCTAAAGCTAACTTGTCCCTGCATGGGGATGAGGGTCTCAGACAGCAGCACAGTTGCCTGAGATTCACTGAGGATGGGGAGGGAGATCCCTATTGCCTATTTCTCTATCAACCCACTCCACACAACTGCCCCCTCTGCCTCTCTGTTTCACAGAGACAGAAGGACAGGACAGCCCATCGTCAAGATGCCAGACAGTGGTTTTGGGGCAGAACCAGCCTGGGAGGTCAGAAAGAGGGAAGCAAAGAGCAAGAGTGTGTTAGGGTAGCTGCTACCTCCATGTCTGCACAGAAAACCAAGTGAAAACAGACAGAAATGGAGCTCCACCAGGTGTCAAGAGCAGGAGGAGGCAGCAGAGTGTTCCCCCTGGGACCTGGGGCAAGGACAGTGCATTTGGGGGTCCTGATACCCCACACAGCATCACAGGGCTGGAGGAGTGAGACTGGGATGACCTCCTGCCCTGGACAAGGGTTAGAGCCTTTGCTCCAGGGCTGAGCATGAAGGATGCTTTAGCCATGGGAATTGGAGGGTAACATCAGCCTGAGCATGGGGGCAAATTCCTGTCCCAACCAGATTCTGCAGGTCAGGGTCCAAGGTCCAGCAGGAATTTGGGATGAGCAGTCAAATGCTATTGACAAGGGTCATTGGGGAACAGGGGGCATTGAGCGAGGCAGGGCAGGGAGAACCTCACCCTGCTGCCCTTCACCCATTTTCAACATAACTCTGATTTCTTCCTTGCTTCCCCCTCTTTGTCTCTACCCACTTGCCATCACCCATGAAGGCAGCTGCTCTCTTACCCAGGAGCCAAGGGGCACAGGACTCCATGATGCCATCCTTGGCAGACTTGAGGATGGACTCGGGCAGTGGGATGGAGTGACGCACCATGGCACCGTAGAGCCCATACTCAGCCATCACACTGCTCCTCCCCCAGCATTTCTCCCTCTTCCGCCATTTGGCCCGGCGGTTCTGGAACCAAACCTGGAGCAAGCAACAAGGAGGGACATGGGTTTTTTTGCAAGGAGAAGGCATGTCAGTCCCTTTCCCACATGGGAACACACATGTTTGTGCAGCAGGGTGAAGGCAGATGTGTGGATGCTCATCCTGAAGGCACTACAACCTCTTTTCCTATGCAGTAGACACCAGGTATCTCTCCCTCCCTCCCTTGCAGGAGTGGCAAGGGCCAAGTGTGAAAGCAGGTCCCACCCCTCTCCGCAGGATGTAATTAATTTGCCATTGCAGCGTCTTTTTCTAGTGGCTTTTGGCTCTTGTGCCTGGGATTTTTTTTTTATTATTTACTGGGTATCTGAGCAGCAGCACAGGGCTGCAGGCAGTGGTGCCTGAAGGGAGGGCTTGGATGGGGGTGGAGGATCAGGAGAAGCAGGAGAAGGGGGAAGCTGATCTGTGCGCTTTGCCCTGAATTCCCAGTTTGAAAAGCCCCTCATCTTCTCAGAAAATTGGCAGAATAATCTCTGAGCTGTGACCTGGGGGCCAGCGAGCAGAGAGGCGGGCGGCAATGGCGGGGAGGGGGTGATACTGGCAGAAATCTATTAGTGCTCTCTCTCTGATTTCCATTCCTCTTGTCTCCTTCGCCCTCCTCCCTCCCCGGTTCCCCTCCCTTCCCACCGAGCAGAGGCATCAGCTTTAGATGAAAAATTGCTTGAGGTCTATTCAGAAGGAGGCAAAGGAAGAGTCAGCCCCAGGGGCAGCCCAGGCCTGATTGAAAAATAAGTTAATTTCAGTTTGAATCGATGGGCCTCAGGCACTGAAATATCACGGGAAATTAAAGCAGCTGGTCCCCAGGGAACCACGCCATTGACCTGCGCTAATTAATGCCATGGAGTTACCAGGCCCCTCTCCAAGAGGCAGCCCCTCCCTCCCTGCGGACACCCCAAACACCTCCTCATTTAACTAATTAGACTCACAGAAAATTGGGTGTTAATTTGTTTAGGATTTTTTTTTCTTTTCTATTTTTTTCCCTCCCTTTCCCAGAAAGTACATGGCAGAATGGAAATGAATGGCAGGGTCTCGCTGGCAGATGGATGCTCGGGGTCACTCCGCAATCTTCTCCGACTTGATTGCTTGATTAGGTCGTTAGCACATTAAAAAAAAAAATTGCTTGCCGTCTGGCGCTGGCCTGATGAGTGGGATGAGGCGGGATTCGCCTGGGTAATTTATCTTTTTATACTGCAAAGAATTTGATTTCAATCTGCAGATATATGGAGGTGCCTTTGACACCTGTTTAACATTACAGAGCTGACAGCTTAACCCTCTCTTGTCCCCACCATTCGTTTCGTTGAGGGAGCCCAAGCTGCACTGGGGGGCACTGGGGGTCTGTCCCAGACCGCCAGCTCTGCCGTGGGGACAGTAACACTGATGCCAGGGAATGATGTCCTGCTCTCAGCTGGTAAGGCAAGCTCACCTCTTCTACCTGTGCAGAGAACTGCCTGGCACTGCAGCCCTGTGGTGGGGACAGAGCTGCAGGGTAGGCGGGTGGTTTGCTAACACTGGTGACAACCAGCCTTGGCCATTCCTGGGAGCTCAGCCAGCCTGCTCCCACAGAGAGCTGGGTGGGGTGGTGGTCCCAGTGGCTGTGATCCCAGCTTCTCCCAGCAGAAGACACTCTGTGCATGTCAGAGGGAATTTTACAGCTGCTTCACCACACATCACCTCCTCTGCATGATGAACAGTCTGATTTACACTTTCATACTGCCAATACCTAACCTCTGGACCATGTATGGCTGCAAATCCTCCAGTGCCTGAGCAAAGACCCTCAGGAATGCACACCTTCCTCTTTTCACCTGCTCATCCATGCCACTTGGCCCTGTAGTCAGCAGGATATTGAAAGGGTCTCTCACTCCAGGCATTCCTCTCACTCCCAGAGCCCAGAGTGAAGAGCTGGAGGCTCTTCACTGGAGGCTCCTACTCCAAACTCAGCCCAAAATTCCATAGTTCTTTTTCACCCACCAGACCCAGGCAGTGGGACAGCCACCCCCCTACAATTCCATGCTGTGAGGGGGCAGTTTAACCCACCTGAGACAGGAGAGGGATCCTGCCTGTTCTGCCCTGGATAAACCAATATAGTTAGATCCATCACAGCAGAGCTCCTCTCCGATTTCAGAGAGAAATTCCTGCACAGTCCCATGTCTGGTGCCTGTAAATCTGGCTTGGTTTGGGGCTGCAGTGACACTCTTCCACGCACCTAGAGTGGCTTGCAAGGCTCACCTCTGTACAGCTGTTTTTGTCACTAGCTGACACACTTAGGATCTCACCCACGAACAGGGTTTTCCACGAGGTACCAAGTGGGCAACTTTTTTAACTCCCCTCAAACTTATTTTATCAGATGCCTATTCACTGATGTTTTTACTACCTTTCCCTTTCTCTTCCCTCCTGCCTTGATGTCCCAAACATCTTCCCCCATGCCTCACACTCCTCTTCCCTTCTCCCTGGTCAGGTCTCAGCCTGCCCACTGCTACTAAATCAGATGCCCTGAAGCATACCCTTTTCCATGGCTGTGTTACACAAACACTGGAGGTAGCAGAAGCTTTACCAGCTGGCAGCCCAGTCTTGACTAGAGACAGTAGAAAATTTTCAATCAAAAAATGCTGATTCAATCACATAGGAAAAACAGTGTCCAGCCAGTGGAAGTGTAATCAAAATTATTTATGGCTTTCTTATGAATGCTGTATTTTAATCTCAGATGCAAAAGACATGCAAAATCTATGCTTTAAAGCCAAATGGGAATATCAAAATTACATCAACATTTCAGTAAGATTATTCTGAGATTTCTGAAACCAATTTTTGTTTTTTGATGGGAATTTCCTCTTAGTTTTGACTAGGAAAAATGAAAGTTTGAAATCCCAGAATGTCTATCAGAATAGAAATCAGGAAGACTGACCATCTTGCTTTAATACCAAGAGCCATATCTTCATCTCATGAATGAAGCTGAGTGAAACCAGTAGTGCTCTTTACAGAATATTGCTGGGATCAGATCCCAGCCCAGCATCTCTGCCACAAGCCGATCCCAAGGAACATGGAGAGAAAAGCTCCAGCATGGCACTGGCAGCTCCCACGCCATTTCAGATCAGCAGAATTGTTCCCTGTGGCCTGTTCTCATGATTTTGTCCTCATTCAGATGGCTCCATCGGTGGGACTTTCTTCTGGGAGATCTCACTGCTTTCTCCAAATTTCTCGATGTGTTACCAGAATTTTCCCATGCCTTGATTCTGAGCTGAATTATGCACTGGTTTTAGTAATTCAGAGGTATTCTCAGCTCTGTTGGTACATCAGCCACAACTTCCAATTATGCAGTTATTTATTATTGGCACCTCACTTCTCCTGGAGTGGGTTCACCCTTACATTTACTCATGGTTTTGGTATTCTTCAGCTACTTACTGTCCTTTCTTGCTTTACTTCTTCCAGCTCTTTAAAATTTGATCTGCTACAAGCAATGTTTGGGTTTGTCCATGTTTCCTCTTGCCCCTTCCAATTCTGTGGATTGGCTCAGCTTTGTGAAATGCTTTATTGATATGATTGTGTACCGTGCACCTTCCTTCTCACTTGCTTTCATGTGGTTCTCTGTTGCACAGCTCAGGGTATGGTAAAAAGACTGTGCTTCCATACCTCATGGGCAGTGGGGAAACCCCCTGATTAATTTTAGACTGAAGCACATCAGATGTGCTATTACAATCTGATGTGGAGAGGTGTCTTTTGGACCAACGTGCTATATCTTAAGTTTTACAGCTCTTTATTTTCACACAAACACCCTCTGGAAAACCCAGGAATCTTGTTCCAGGAAACTTACCCTCAAAAAATGGATAACAGAGTAAAGTGGACAGGTTTGTCTTGCAGTATTGCAAAGCCTTCTAAATGGGAATGTTTCTAACTTTAATCATCATCTAATTCTCACCTCCAGTGCCCACTGCCCAAAGCAATAGAAGTTGAGGCACTCTATGCTTGACCACAGGGTTGCAAGTGTTTTGGAGCTGGAGTTTTGGAGCTGGAGTTTTGGAGTCAAGACTGGCAAGGACAACCTTGCCAGTTTCCTCCTCTGAATCACAAATGACAACTGACACTTCTTCGGATTATTGATGATGCAGAAGAGCAAATTATAGGAGGAGGAATCTCTCATTTTGCAAAGGGACATGAGACTTAATGTATCCTTGTTATCCACATTCATTATATTAGTTAGTTTGTTTACCTAATCAGTGCCTGAAACATTGTCTGCTAAAGAGAGAAATCTCCCTGCGACTGGCAATGTCCCAGGAATCTGAATTAGCAAAGGGGTATTTTAAAACATCTATGGTGTTATTCTGTATTGTTTCTGTATTGTTTCAACCTAAAATTTTCCACTGGTTACACTCATTTTCGTGGCTGCTACTTTCCAAGCTGAGGTACACAGACAGGGGAATTGGTATTGGAATTTTTGTCTTCCTAATATAAAAAAATGTTATTTTCCCTGCCTGAGCATGCTTCATCTATTAAAGGAAAACTCCAGGCTAGACAACGGTGAATTTTTGCTTCACCAAATCGTTCATACTGCCTTTGAAATAGCATTTCAACAGGGGTCTTTCAAAGAACGAGCTTTATGGACCACAAGCCGGTCGCAGCCCAAAGCAGCACAAGCTGAATGTCCACTAGATGGCCACAAGCAGATGAACGTCCGCACCTGCAGACACATCGACACAGACACACAGACACTCCGGCACATGCTTTTGCCAGACTGCGTGGAGCAGCTGCACACAGCTGTCGGGAAACCAGCATCTAAAGCAAAGGACAAAATTCCAAGACCCCCAACAGCAACGTTGAGACCATCTCCCCTGCCCGTGGACTGACATGCATATCTTCTTTGCATACCTGCCACTTCTCCACTTGAAGACCTTTGGTGAATCCAGCTGCAGACCAGACAACACCTCCAGTTCACCTCCACATCCAGGGCCCTGCTGCCACCTCAGCACTCAGTTTCTCCTGATGACTATGGC